GATGTCTGGACTTCAACTCCCAGAATTCCCCAGCCAGCATTTGCTGGCTGGGGAATTCTGGGAGTTGAAGTCCGGACATCTTCAAGTTGCCAAAGTTGAGAAACACTGCCTTAATGTTTCCTCAGAGTCCATCTAAAACTTACCTACACATTTAAGTTACAAATAAATTAAGGAAATCACTAGGTACATGGGAAGTTGTGCTGTCAAAATGACCTTACTTCAGCCTTATCTGGGTTTTGCTCGATTTCTGCTCATTTAACGTGCCCTGGCCTCACCCACTTTTGGGAATAAGGGCCCCCGCACATCATTAGAGTCCAAACACTTCCTTCAATCTAAAAGAAGTTGCTCAGCCCATTTCAAGCTATCCAATGGGTTCTCAGTAAAGGTGAGGTTCAAAACCAGGAGCCATCCGATTTGTAATTCAGACTTTGAGTCATAATCCTACATTTTGTGTACGTGATACAAAGGGAGTGTTTTTTGTAACGCAGCATTTGAGCTCTGAATGTTTAAAAAATCATGTGGGTCTTGTTCATACTTGCCCTTTACAGATACTGGGACAATGGGAAAATCAGTTTATGAGTCATCTCATTAGAGTGTTTTAGCTCTAAACTGAAATTGCCTGGTCCAGGATGAAGAAGCATTGTCAGAACTACTGGGGGTGGTGGTGGTGGTGGTTCACAATTGGAATAGTGGAGTCACATGGTTCACTCAAGATCTACATAGAAAGATACACAGCAAGATGCAATAAACTAGCATAGCCATACCTTCTCAAAGTGAAGTGGCTCCATATGACCACTGTCTTTTTCAAGCTCCTCTCTTAGCTTTCCCAATTCTCGCTTCAGTTCTATCAACATCGTCTCCTCTAAAAGACATATTTAGTCCAAGTGAGATCATTTGAGCGATATGAAATGAACAAAACAACTGCTTGTTTAAAGCCCCTTATATGTTCAATGATAACCTCCACCCACATTTTGATTAAGATCAGCAGAAGGACCTTTAGGAGCTAATGGAAGCAGTTTAGTTTTCTGACTATCGTTGATCTTATCCATTTCTTACTAGAGGCACTTGGTAATGTTGGAATCTCCTCATCCGTAGTAGGGATATGCATCCCTTGACGTGGGTGGAAGGGTGGGAGATGCAACTCAAGGAGAACTTGCAAAGTGGTAGCTTCATCTTCATGAATAAGCAGCTTGTGTGTCTCGGCAAAGAGGCGACTGGCAGACACAATGAAGCTCTTGTGGGTGGTCTATAAAAATCCAAAGATAGCTTTAGCAGAGTCAGAACCCAATATATCCCTTTCCCCCCACTGAAACCCTAAGTTCTTATTTCTTATAATCAGCAATTGGAAGCATTGGGTGGCCCTCCAAAAATAAATTCCCTACCATTCAGTTAATCAACCCTCCCTCCCCTTTATATGATCAATATATCACACCACATCACCTAATGCAGCTTGCAACTACGACTGCGAGAACCAGTGGGTTTAGAGACAGCATTCTCCAATCCTCCTTTGAAATATCCAAGGCAAGTTTGAAATGAACTAGTCTTTCTCTTGTTTCTCTTGTTGATTAAACATTTCTGGATTCATACTCTTTTTTATGAAATCCTTCCATTCCCCACTATCCTGTCAAGAGCTGAAGAAGCTTCTTAGATGAGAAGTAAAACGTCTTCAAAAGAAAAAAACAAGAAAGTCCAGTTGCCTCCTGAAAAAAGCACCTTTGGGACCGCCATGACCTGGATGATGAGAATCTCTAGAGACTACTCTTTTTAAGCTACCGTATTTTGGGGGGTATAAGACGCACTTTCCCTTTCCCTAAAAGTGGATGAAAATGTCAGGGCATCATATAGACCGAATACGGGCTTGTTTTTAGGCTCCCAAGCCCCCTGCGTGTTGCATTTTTGCCCTCCCCAGCCCCCAGAAGCACTCTGCAATGCTGTGAATGTCCCATTTTTGCCAAAAACAGGCCCATTTTGGGCCAAAAACTATTTTTTCTTGTTTTCCTCTTGTAAATCTAGGTGAGGCTTCTAGTTCAGTGTGTCTTCTAGTCTGAAAAATACGGTATTTATTGTGAATTGTTTGCCACCAGTTCTAGGAAATAATAAAAACAATTCTCATTCATTGAATATGTATGTGTGTATTCATGAGAGTGAATGTGTACTTTTACTTTTAGTATCCATATTAACATTTACTTTGATCCTTTTAACATTAAAATGCGAATGGTCACCCAAGAGAGGAAATGTCTTGACCTTCCCTTGATGATTCTTACTGAGAAGACAAAAATCTGCTCTCTTCTAGAATCCCCAGTTCCCAAGCTGAACAACTCACTCACATTATTGTAATCAAACTGGAGTTGGTGCGGGCATCGATTGGATCCGGACCAGAAAGGAAATCCAGAGCTTGTCTTCTGGGGACAAAGGTAGATAGGGTCAGTCAGGAAGCCACATGGGATGCGGGGAAAGAAGTTCAAGGAAGGAAACTCCACTGATCAAAGGCTGGAACTGAGCCAGGTAAGTTTTGCAGCCTGAAGTAAGAAGATTTAGCCATGGAAGGGAGAATAAGTGCTCATAGTAGATGTGGCTGGAAGGAACTATCTGTACCATCTGTATATTTTACTTGTATATATTTTAATTCCTCCAAAACATCCAGGGCCTCCTTCTGACATTACTGTTACATTCCATTAAGGGCCAAAAAAAGGTTATATAAAAGAACAATGCTTTAGCACCCAAAAGATAAGACACACATAACCATGGTAGTATCACTTTCAGCAACATAAATTACAGTGTGAGGAAAAGTGGGGAATGAAAAATGCAATGGAATCTGCAACTGAGGCCATGGAGCTACCAAAGGACTCTTAAATTGAATGCATAAAATGGGGCCTTAGCTTTTCTTTTCTTTTTTTTTTACCCTTCCTTGAATCTGTTTATGAAAAGCCATGAAAAAAAAAGTGTACTATAATTCACGGATGCAGTAATCCTTCAATGGCATTTTCAATCCTGAGTGGAATTCACAGGTATCAAAGAAGCCACCTTTACATTAAGCATCTGGGTTTCCACAAAAATGTACAGTAATACCCCCTGATTCTCTCTTTTTATTTTCCTCTCAACCAAGCCAACAAAATCACTTTCTGTGTTTTAGGTATTAGTGTAACTAAAAGAAAAAAAGAAGCAGCACGAGTTCTTTTCATAGAGCGTGTGCGTTCCTGCAGGGTTGAAAAACGCTTCCTTTTATTTTCTATTTATAGTTAACACCGTTTGCAAAATTGCACCATCACCATTGTATGGAGAGAGATATAATGATTATGGGTTAACTACATACAGGGCAGATTGTTTCTAATCTTCTCAGAAGGTGTCAGATAATCTGTAGTAGGAAATATGGGAAGAGGGCTCTCTCCGTACTACCGGAACATCCTACATAGAAAGGGACTGGCTACCTTGAATTTTGCTTCACCATAACAAGAGGAAGACAGCGAGATGCAGGACCGCTATGGAAACTGTTCTAGGTCGAGTCCTTAGCCCGAGCATCTGGACTCTCTGCTTTGAATATACAGGATTACTCTCTCTGTGGACTCTTGATTACCGTTTGCCATTTGATTCCGATCCTATTAGGTTCTTATTCTTCTGAAGTTTTTCTAAAAAACTATAGGCAAATCATTTTCAGGATCTCCAGCTAGGGCCGTAATAGTGAACTTAGGGGCACCTGTGCCAGAGGTGTTATGCAGAACCCTCTCTGTGGGCACGTGTGCCATCGCCAGCTGCCCTTCTGGTTTCTGGTGTGCCAGCCAGCTGGTCTTCTTGGGTGCCGGAGTGCCAGAAAACACCCCCAAAACAGGCCATTTTTCAGGCTGTTTTGGGGTTGTTTTCTAGGCTGTTTTTCTTTGCTATTGCCAGAGCGGCCAGCTGGTCTTCACAGGTGTCAGAGCGCCAAAAAATGGCCTGAAAGTTGCCCCCAAAACTGTCTGAAAGTTGCCTGAAAAACAGCCAAAAACAGGTGTGTGAGCGCTGTGCAGCTAGTCTTTGGGTTTGTGGGGCTCTGGTGTGTGTATGCGCACACATGCACGCCCATTCCAGTTTGGGCACTCGGTGCCGAAAACGTTCACCGTCACTGAGCTAGGGCGTATGAGTTATTTTATGACCATGGGCTTCTACCCAAAGAAGCAGCAAGAGTAAATGTTTGCGGAGCTAAGTCTGTAAGAAGCAATGCCTCCAAAGATGAGACCAGCACTTTCTATATTAAGTTTTGATTAAGTTGGAAGCCTCTGCAAAAGAAATGTGTACTCCATCCAAAGAAAGGCAGAGGGAGGAGGATCCTCCCTTGATCTTGAGCCGTTCCCACTTCACTTGCTGCACTGTGCTGGGCAAGAAGCTAGGAAGTAGTTGAGGGTAAAAAGGATATGCTCATGTCTCACATATTCAGGTGGAAAGTTGTACAGCAACTGCAGAATGTCATGACAGAAAAGACGCTCCCAAAGTTTCCGGGCCCAGGCCACGCAGTCTCGCCAGCACTGTGGCTGCTCCTGAAGACTCATCTTCACTAGGTTCAGCCTCTCCAAAGCTTCCGTGCCTTCTTTCTCAAAGGTGGTGGGATCCCTGGAGTTAAAGATAGACACTGTGGTTGGACTAAAGAAAATATTCAGCTGTTTTATTTCTTAAGTATAGGAAATCTTCACCAAATATCCATAGGCCTCTCAAAACAACCAGATCTCCTTGTTTAATTATTCTAAGAACAACTATTGTTTAGTGATAAAGTATCTACTAAACACCCCCTGTCCGTGCCCCTGCTAGTAGAATAAAACATCAACTTGATCCCCAATACTACCTATTCATGATTCTTATACACACACACACAATATTTATCCATCTTTTGACAAGATCTAGATTTTCACTCACCTCAGAAATTTATTAGTATCCTCTGCTCTTATTTTGAAAAGATCCTCAAATTGATTTCGGGCCCACTGGAAAAGATGGAGATGAAGTGGGTTCAGGAATCTATTGTGCTCTTTGTAAATGCATTAAGCCTGTGCATTGACTCAGAAGCAAGAGCAGTTAGGATGACACCCAAATAACCAGTACCGGATAGCAGGCTCTGAGTATCTTGCCTGCCAGTATTTTTTGGGCTAAGTGGGCCAACACAGACCACAGATCCCTCAAGGCTGGTATTTACTCCTCTGATCTAGATATAAGGGCTCCCCAATCAAATGGCCAGACAGAAATTTCCTCCATTGGAGGCGAAGGGGAATCAAACAGGGGCATGAAAAGCCTCAGGATCCTGAAATCTGGAAAGGGATGCCCTTGCTACCTCTGTTCTGTGAACTGGGAAGAAACAGCTGAAGATTTGCTTGAGGTGAAGAATTCTGGCTTAGCTTATGGGTGAAACAGCTGAGCCCTATCTCCTGTCCTCACACCACTAACTGGCTATCCTAGTTTTTGCCCAGCTGCCTAGAAACAGTAAATGAAGCTAAAAGGGCCAGTCAGAAGAAGGGAGTTTCCCCTCTTTCAAGGATGGCTCAGCTGGAGAGAAAGGGAAGGGTTTGGAGCAGAAGCTGCAGAGTTGATGAGGGGCAGAACAGGGGTGAAATTCAGCAGGTTTTGGAGATCCCGTAGCGGAAATTTTGAGTAGTATGGAGAACCGGCAAATGCCACCACTGGCTGGCCCCAGAGGGAGGTGGGAATGGAGATTTTGCAGTATCCTTCCCCTGCCACGTTCACCAAGCCACGCCCACCAAGCCAAACCATGCCCCACCAAGCCACTCCCACAGAACTGGTAGCACAAAAATTTGAATGTCACCACTGGGGCAGAAGAAAGATGTGGACTTGTACCTGAATGGTGTGCTGGATGGTAGTGGGGAAATAGCGCAGAGTGCAGAGAGGGAATGTTGTACTGTCCTTATCCAGACTTTGTCCATATGTGTTTGTCAGGTAAGGCACGAAGACTAGGGAGTGTCCCTTGGTGCCATCGGTCCCAGAATCGAGCAAAGGCTTGAGGTAGTGCAGACATATTTCACCCACTTCGTTTCCTGCAGGGGAAAGAAAAGGGGGAAGCCTAAAGCGTTGCACAGTTCTTTGCATGATTCTGCTTCCATAGCTCCAATCAGTCAATCCGAATAAAGCTGGAATGGACTTTGGAGATGTTCTAGTCCAGCCCACTGCTCAACTATACCACTTCAGACAAGGGACTGTCCAGTCTCTTCTTAAAAACCTCCAGTGGTGATGGAAGCACCTACAGCTTCAGAAGGCAAACTGTTCCAATGGTTAATTGTCCTGTTAAGAAGTTTCTCCTTAGTTCCAAATTGCTTCTCTCCTTCATTGTGTAGTTTCGTTTCGTTTCGTTTAGATTTATTTATAGGCCGCCCTTTTCCCTGAGGGGACTCAGGGCGGCTTACAATCAAAAAGGAAGGGGAGTGTAGGACAATACAAAAAAGAAATGTGCACAAAGTAAATTAGACAGTAAAACTCAACATTCACTCAGCATTCGGGAGGGGCAAAAATAAAATTATCCCCAGGCCTGACGGGCTAGCCAGTTCTTGAGGGCTGTGCGGAAGGCCTGGACGGTGGTGAGGGTACGAATCTCCACGGGGAGATTGTTCCATAGTGTCGGAGCCGCAACAGAGAAGGCTCTCCTCCGAGTAGTCGCCAGTCGGCACTGACTGGCGGATGGAATACGGAGGAGGCCAACTCTATGCGATCTGATGGGACGCAGGGAGGTAATTGGCAGAAGGCGGTCTCTCAAATAGCCAGATCCACTACCATGGAGCGCTTTATAGGTGGTGAATAGGACCTTGAAGTGCACCCATTATTTCTTGTCCTGCCTACAAATGCTTTGATAAATAAGTTGACCCTCTCCTCTTTGTGGCAGCCCTTGAAATACTGGAGCGCTGCTATCATCCTTAGTCCTTCTTTTCTCTAAATTAGCCAAATCCAAATCCTACAACTGTTCTTCATTTTTTAATCTCCAGCTAACTAACTTTTAGGAGAGAAAGAAGTCAAGGAACACAAGAAGGACCATTTGTGGCTTGCTGAAGTCACTTTCCTTTGAAAGTTTGAGGAAATCAAAGTTGCAGGCAAAAAAAGAACTGATTGCCTCATGTCTTCCCTCATTCTCTGAAGAAAAGAACTAGAAGAAAAGCAAGACAAAATTCAAACGATATAAATGCTATAAATTTAGAAATAAGCATTCCTTAGAAAGGCCTTGTTTTGAGTATTCCGAATCATGGTATGAGTGATGGATAAATATTATGCAAATTTAAGCGATTATTTACGTGCCCTCAATTCAGCCTTGACTGCTAATGACTCCATAGACCAGGGGTGTCCAAACTTGGCTGGGGAATTCTGGGAGTTGAAGTCCACAAGTCTTAATGTTCCCAAGTTTGGACACCCCTGCCATAAACAATGCTCACCAATCTGCCTTCAATAAAAATCCTAGAGTTCTTCAAATATTTTTTTTGCAGTAATTGACTGTCCCAACTACCTGATACATTGTTTTTCCTTCCTCCTTCCAAGTTTAACAGGGATATGTGTGTATGTGTGTGAGAGACAGATATTCAGTCAAGCATCAACTCCCATCCCACGCAAAAATATTTGGGTTTCTGCTTGTGGGTCATTGTCTCAAAGGTGTAGTCAGTTTTTATTTGGTCCACAACTAATTTATTCTTATTTTTCTTGCAGTTCATGGTACATTTAGTAATTGTTTCCAAATGTATCATTCTAGCACTAACATTGATGATGTTACCTAGTTTGAGTAATGAAACGTCTGCAAGAAACGTACAGGGGTTTCTCCTTTCAAGTTTCCCAGTCAGTACAGTATGGTCATTGGTGATGATTGGCGGCATTAGAGAGTTCCCAATTTATCCAGGAGCAATTATGTTATGGAAGTCTGGAACACTTTACCCTGGGAGACTCATACCCATTATGATTGAAGGACTTACTGGCTTGAAAGCTGTCCAGGGCACTGGCTACACCATCCAAGCCCAAGAAGAATTCGTCCCCATAGAAGTGTTGTGTGTCAAGCCCGACCCGATTTTGCTGAGCTATTACATTGATATTAGGATTCATACGTCTTATGGCAGCTGCAGCCACTTCTGACTTCTGCTTCTATAGACAACAAAGGAAACATGATTAGATCTAAGATTAAAATTGGTCATTGACCAACGTGCAGAAATAGGTCAGAAAACAGACATTCTCCATTTACATTAAAAGTCAATTTGCTAGTATTCGGACTTGCAGCAAATCTCAGAGTTTCTAAAGTTACCACTCTTCCTTCTCCCAATTCCCCCCCCCCCCATGCCATCTTGTCTGCATGACTTACAGATATATCTTGTGGTCGAAATAGGAACTGCCTGTTCAGGTTGGACTTTTCAATGATGTCCATGTCTGTCACAGTGATCTCCCCGCCCTCGCCAGCAGCCAAGCCAATCATTGCGAAATTCTTCAAGAGTTCACAGCCAATCGCACCTGCTCCTACCTAAAAAAGTTGTTTATAATAAGACTGTTTGAGACCCCGTGACATTTTGGAACATTATCAAAAACTGGAGATAGCTCCTCAAATTACTGTATATATGATTGTTCTTATCCACACTTCCCGTATATCTTTTCTCCATCTGCATGCTATTAGTCTAACTCTCATGCAATTTCAATAAAACATGTGTGGCAGTGGTGAGATTCAAATAATTTAACAACTGGTTCTCTGCCCTAATAATTTCTTCTGACAACCAGTTCACCAAACTTCTCAGAAACTTAACCGGTTCTCCTGAAGTGGTGAGAAGAGGGTGAATCCCACCACTGATGTGTGGCAATTACAAAGCCTGGACAGAAGTATTCACACAAGAAAATTGCTATCGAAGTCCAAAAACTTTCTGAATACAATTCTGGGAAAAGGATAGAAATGACATACAGAATGACTCTCCCATTTTGAAAATAAAACTCTTGATCACCTTATATATTATAGATATCAATTTGCCCAAAATCTAAAAAAACAAACAAACTATGAGAAACCCATGATTTTAGTATGTTTCCATTATAGCTGGTACACTACACTAACTCTTAATTTTGCCGTGGAAGAAGCACAGACAAGAAACTCCACAAGTTCATGGGATCCATATGCCAATTCATCTATTGTGTGAAGCATATAAGAACTATGCAACGGCCTTAAAACAAGAAAAAGGAGTAAAACCGGGATGGAACCTCAACCCAACCCACTTTTATCTTATAAATCAACTATTTACCAGTCGTTTCTAAAATGGCTGTGAAGTCCAGGATTACCAGAATGTGACTCAGCAGCACAAAGCCTGTTATACAGTGGTGATCTCACACACTCCCTTCGATAATAGAGTCATGCAAATGAACAAAAGGAAAGATTTTGCAGAATGTGAATGTATCTTGCAAAAACATATCTTGGTTCCGGTTTATTTTTCCAAAATATTCTCATGAAGGCTAGAGATTTGATCAATGTCAATCCTTCTAGGCTTGTTTGTTTCCTTCCTGGTCTAAATTACTTAGGGGATCCATGTTGAATTTCCCATAAGTCTTTGTAGTCACATCTGCAAAAAGTGATATGCTATAATTTAAGACGTCATTACCACTGCTATAATAATTTCGTCCCATCATCTAATGGGAATAGTTTCAACATCTGGAGTCTTTCTTCAATAATCAGGAATCTGTTAATTAGGATAAAATCGGATATCTACAGCAGCAGTTCTGCCAGCAAATGATGTTACCACCACCATCCCCCCTGCCAAAAAAAACAACAACCAGAACCCAACAAAACCAATAACAGCTGCAGGAAGAATCTAAGCTTCATCATAGACAAATAATAATTCTTGCTTTGGTGCCCCCTCTCAGGCTAAAAAATGATCAAATGCTCCCTCTGCTGTGAAAAACGGGAAGAAAAGGCATCAAAGTTTATCCATTCTCTTTCAACAGCTGCTGGGTGAATACGTGGTTTCCCGTCCTGCAATGGGAAATTAGCTCATCAAAAAAAGTTTTCTTTTGTTTTAATTATTGGACCCACAAAGGTCATTTGGAAGAGCTGTAGATCTATCATCCCAGATAAGGTAAATGAGAGCTGGAGAGACGACAGACAACAACAACAACAACAACAACAAAAAAGAAGTTAGCACACACAGCATAATTTGCCCAAACCAAATACACACATTATAATGAACCTAGTTAGCGTGTGGTAAGAACGTTGTTTCATGTGGTCCGCAAGAGTTGCATGCCTTACTCACCAGGAAATACTTCTGCTTCCCAAGTTGTTTTTGGAAGTCAGCCCCAAAGACAGCAATCTGCCCATCGTAGCGGCTACCACGCTGTCAGAGACAGAGATGGCAAACATTAGAACCCTAAGAGGAAAATTCCAGATCGAAAGTAAAATGAAACCAGCCCAGTTTCTCACTGGCATTCTCAGAAAGTCTAGTTGGCATCATGAAAGAGAACAGAATGAATGAATGAATGAATGAATGAATGAGCGAGCTGGAAGGGACGCTAGAAGTCTTCTAGTCCAGCCCACTGCCCAAGCAGGGGAACCTATACTATTTCAGATAAATGACTGTCTAGACTCTAGATTCTTCTTAAAAACATCCAGTGATGGAGCGCCCATGATTTCTGGAGGCAAGCTGTTCCATTGGTTAATTCTCCTCATCGTTAGGAAGTTTCTCCTTAATTCCAGGTTCTCTCTTTGATTAGTTTCCAACCATTTTTCTTGTCCTGCCCTCTGGTACTTTGGAGAATAATTTGACCCCCTCTTCTTTGTGGCAGCCCCTCAAATACTGGAATACTGCTATGAAAACGTTTCAAACAGCCACTAGTGGAAACCTTTCTAAACAGAGTCGTGCTGGGTCAGACCTGAATAGTTTGGGGGAAAAGGCAAACTATGGAATGTAACTACTCACCGGAGCACAGTTTTCCTCTGTCAGCTGCTCCCCCTCAGGCAGGCATTCATAAGCATCAAAGTACAGCCACTGATCCAAAGGGGTGAATTTCCCTGAAACAGCCTGCAAGCAAAGTAGCATAGAAACTTTGCTCAAGCAAAAGATTATAATGAACACTGTGGAAGCTGGAGTCCAACACATCTCGATCTTAAGCTGTAAAGCAGGCCCAGTTTCAGTAGGTGATGTTTTTGCTTATTGTGTCTCATTATTCAGAGAAACCACATCTTTTGGTCTTCAACTCAACTGTTAAAGGCACAAAAGCCCCTCGGGGAATGGGAAGATTGGTACTTCTTCACCATTCTAGCCAGTTCACTAATCTTGTTGAGCACTAATTCATCCAGGAGGAAATTGACAGAGTGGCTCATCTGTATTGCAACAGGCAGAAAATAAATTATGCTAGGAAAAGAGAAAATGGAATGCTTGCAGCCACTACCAACCCAAGACAGACTGGGCTCCTGGGCTCTGGAGTCATCCCACATGAAATTAATTTCTATGTGATTCAAGTAATCTTTAATCCAGCCTTCTACATTTGTCACTTGCAACCACTGGTCAGTTATGGTACTTTGTGGCGAATGGTCTCTGAATCCAGAGGGCCTTCTGTGATGAAGCTTCGTCAGTCCAAATCTTGTTACAGAAGGCAAAACTGCAAAGGCCGTGGCATCGCCCCTGAATAATACACACACTGCTGCCTATCATACTGAGCAATATTACATTCTATTAAAGTTAAAGTAATTATTCTTTTACTTACATATATATTATCAATATTCACATAGTGTATACAATCTATTCCCATTCCCTGTTTCATTTAAGGGGGTTATTTGTCATGAATGTTGTCTATTTGGGCAATGTGCACTGTACATCTGAGTGGAAGTCATAGGGCCAAAAGGGATACAGGAAAGTTTGAAACTTAACCCACTTTACCAAAGGAGATTTTTAAAAACTACATGTGCTCAGGTATAATGCCAATCTCCACGACTGTATTTCCCCCATCTTTTTAATGTTTTTATTTGTAGCCATCTAGAATTGTTTAAGGAAAGATGGAATATACAGTATATTAATGAGTGTGTGTGTGTGTGTGTGTGTGTGTGTGTGTGTGTGTTTACATAGTTTTTGTTTTCGTAGATTTTCACGGGTGTAGGTATGTTGGTCTTGTTGTATTTGGGTCTTTTCCCGTGTAAGATTGTCTTGGCAACGTTTCGGCGAGGCCTGACTCGCCATCTTCAGGCTGGTGTTTTTGGCTTAAAGCGTGGCCAGAGCTGCCGTCTTTCTATAAATCTTGGTGGGGGTGTGTGGAGTGCTGGTGTTGTAATACATATATTTATATATATAGTATATAGTATATATATATATATACTGTGTGTGTGTGTGTGTGTGTGTGTGTGTGTACACACACACACACACACACACACACACATATATATATATATATATATATATATATATATTACTAGTAATATTAATATCAATATCAATATTAATATATTGTGTTTTAATTAAAAAAACAAGAATAATGATGATGGCTGAGCAGGAAAGTTGAAGAAAAGAGACAGGAGTGAATTCAGGTTGCACAAGACCAAGCCTTAAGAAAAATACATACAAAGCCAGAATTGAGAAGAGAGCAACGTCAGCAAATGCTGCCTCTGCAAAGAAACTGGAGAAACAGTGGATCACTTAGTCGCTGCAAGAAGATCTCACAGACCGACTACAAACAATGGCATGACAAAGTAACAACAACGGTGCATGCACAAGAAATACTCCAAAAATCTAGATAGTGGACATTGCAGTAGTCTGAAACAACAGAATAAGAGAGAAAAAAGAATTGGAGAAAAATCTCAAAATACAAAGACCTGCAAAGAAAAGTAGAAAAATTATGGCCAAAAGAATAGTGCTAACATGTGCCTGGAGTGCAATCCCAAAAAATCTGGAACACCATTTGAAGACCATTGGCATTGACAAAAATCACCATCAGTCAATTGCAAAAGGCAGCTTGCTTGGAACAGCTTACATCTTGCTACCATATATTTAACACTTATCAGATAACAATATTTGCCTATCCCAGGTCCTTAGGAAGGACTCAGTAGGTTGACACAAACAGTCTAAATAATTGTCTGACTGTTCAACCAAGCATAATAATATCATACTGTAAGTCATTGTCTGCAAACTATAATGGTCGTCTTCACATATCCTACTTAACCAAATATTCAAAAGAAAACCTACGCAAAGCATATTATGGCTCAGCATGAATCAAATTGGGAAATTCCAGGACTGACAAACTGAAGAGCCAGGATTGTAGACAAAGAAGAAAGAAAGCCTAACAGAGAATGATAGCTGGAGGGAGCCAGTTACGTGTAAGAAGACTGCAGTTCAGAGAGGATATGTTACAGGGAAACATAATTTGACTGTACTAGATGTAAATAATTAGAGTTCTATCCAGCCTGTATTTCTTCTACAAGCGCAAGCCAATTTACATGGGGATTTCCTTCATTCTGACGACTGCAAAAAATCCGAGATTTGCTGAGAGGGTGAAAAGCCCAAAGTCACCTTTTAAGTTTTCATGGTTTTAGTCTGGTAAATTAAATCTCAATAAATGAGAGTATGATATTGCTCTTCTTACCCATTCTTGCTCAAGATTGTAATCATATTGCAATACATTTTGTCTGATAAGCTGGGGATCATCCAAATCCTGATCTTTAAACTCTCTTCTTCATTTCTTTTATTTTAAGTCAATATTTGGCCATTATAGTAGTCTTACAATTGTTACATCCTTTAGTTCATTCTGTCGTTTGACCTATCTAGAGAAACGGCTAGAAAAATCCCAAGTGATTTTTCCCTTAAGGTGCTCTGACATACTTTGTGACTAGTAATACAGATGGCCAGATTTTAGCTATTTGGTTACCAATATATTTTGACTTCCGGTAGTCGGTATGTGTCAGAACTCTGAGTAAAGGCTTCAACAAACCTCTTATCAACTCATAAAAGATCAAAGCTAAGATCTTGGGTTGCTTCTCAATAAAATGTCTTTTGTGCAATCCGTCTGCCTCCTTTATGGAATTTTACCCAGGTTGTAATAGTTGACACCACCCCCTGTTTCTTAACTTTCCTGTTTTTTTCCAAAAGCTCCTTCCAGGTTTTGCTTATCACAAAAAGATATTAAAAAGTTAAGGATGGAGAAGCTGCTCTATGCCATTTATCTGGTAGAATCAGAAGCTGCCTCGTAATCATTTGCAAAAGGCCCTACAGAAGTAAATCTGAATCAGAGGTTTCCTAAGTCTCAGTGTGTTCTATAATTATGGTACATTTACACTGGCCAAACTTTGCTTCTCAGAAATTAGGACACATGTAATAAGAAAAGGTGTTAAGAGGAAGACATAGCTTTACAAGTAATCCTTGACTTACAACCACAATTGGGCCTGGAATCTTGGTCATTGAGTGAAGTAGTCATTAAGCAAGATGCCACAATTGCTTTGCTCAATAACCACAATCTCTGTTTTCCCAGTTGCGGTTGTTAAGTGAAGCCCCAGGGAGAGAAACCAGACCTCCTGGGCATGGTACAGCCATCACCCCCAGGAGGCCCAGATCCTGTCCCTCACTATGGGAGAGAACAATTGTGAGAATGATGGAGTTTGCTAGTGTTTTGAGGTCCAGTCCTCCAGCATCTGTGAGGATTACATTCCCTGCATGAAGGAGAGAAGGAATCTTAGAGTGCTGGAGGACCGGACCTCAAATCTAACACCTCTTCACTTGTGGCTTTCCTTTTTGGTTTCCTCAATGACTTTCTGAAAAAGCTGGCAACGAAGATTGCAAATGGCCATTACACAATTGCATTTTAAATGTGGACAGGTTGTCAGGAGCCAGAAAGGCGGTGATTGGGGGGCCGTGCAACGTTTTACAACAGCCATCGTTGATTGCAAATTGTTATTAAACAACCAGTCTTGAGTTGTGGACTAGCTGTGTGCAAAAACGAATACACGATAAATCCCTTATTTATAGCTATTTTCTCTTCCTCACAAAGTATGAAACCAACGTTATGGCCAATTGAAAATGCATCACTCACACATAGGAGAGAGCATACAGCGAAGGACTTTAGGCATGGCATAAAGGTTAAGGTTTCCCCTGTCAGTTGAGTCCGACTCCAGGGGGAGGGGGCTCATCTCCCTTTCTTAGCCGAGGGAGACAGAGCTGTCTGAAGACACTTCAGTGGTTATGTATGGCTATATGTCGAGGCGCAAATGGAGCCTAAGCAGAAGAGGGTTATGTCTCTTATTACTCTTCAAAAACCACCTCTGTATTAGGAATCTTGTCCATTGTAAAGGTTCCCTTCACACATATGTGCTAGTCGTTCCTGACTCTAGGGGGCCTTGCGCATCTCCGTTTCAAAGCTGAAGAGCCAGTGCTGTCCAAAAACGTCTCTGTGGTCATGTGGTCGGCATGACTAAACACTAAAGGTACACAGACCCCCTTCCCACCAAAGGTGGTTCCTATTTTTTCTACTTGCATTTTTTATAAACTTTCGAACTGCTAGGTTGGCAGAAGCTGGGACAAGTAACGGGAGCTCACTCCGTTATGCGATGCTAGGGATTTGAACCGCCGAACTGCCGCTCTTTCTGATCAACAAGCTTAGCCACTGCGTCCTTTAAAAAACAGCCTTCAAGTTGCTCATCTATCATGTGGCTGCAATTTTTCCACTGTAGTAAAATACATTACAGTTTTGTTTAAAATATTGTACTGATTAGCTCTAATTAGCTCTAAATTAGCATATACAATATGATGCAAATCAGCAGGTTTTTTCTTGAGATGCATTTCTTCTTTTGGGGTGATGTTTAAGTGGCCACCCTTCTAAACAACAGTCTCTGGAGGGAGAGTTTCTCCTCTCTTCTCTAACCTCTTCCTAACTGGTGCAACTGAGAGAGAAACAGAGGAGAGAAGCTCAAGCTTCCTATCTTTCCTTAAAAATGGTTTAAAAGCATAAACTGCCATCTGGTGGACATTTTATGAATTATGAGCAAAACATTCTTGTATCTGGTTAGATTTTATAACACTGTATAGAATAAAGAACAACAGAG